TATTCAATTTTTATTTCCTCGAGAACTGTCGCTAAAGTTTCGCAACAGATCCATTATTGGAAAATTTTCCCGTTTATTTCATTTACTGGTCAGGGTTTTAATGAATTAACACGTTCATACTATTTTGTTGGACGGAGCAACAAAATACAGCCTATTTATTTAAATGAAACACATACGAACTTCCAATATTTTTACCATCTATGTACGACGTTACGGCCTATATTTGCTTGCATCATTGATCTTTTACATTGCTAAAATAGGCAGTTCACGTTTCCATAGCCTGTTTTTCTAAATGTACTTTCAGTTGTTGATCAAAGTCGTCTTCGACATTGTCATCATCCCAATTATCTTCCCACACGTTGATCTCGTCTTGGTCATCATCAGCAATATTAAAATCTGGAAATATTCTATTATGTATAAATTTCACAAAGTAGGTACAATATGAATCAAGCACCTTCAGCTGGGAACTCTTCAAATTCATCATCTTCCTCCAAAAGCCCCAAATCTCCTTTAGCGTTCTTTTCCTTATCTTTTTCGGACGACATTTTTATCACACTAAAATTGAGATCCCTTTAGTTTAAGAAAATGTAAATATGCAAATTAATAGAAATGGAAAAATATCGACGATATTATCGATATATCGATGGTTTGTGTATGAAAACCAATACCATCGACACCAAGAATGATAGAATACAAGATTGTGCCGATTGCAGCAGAATTCGTGAGAGTAAATTTAGCGTGACGTCATCGTAGAGTTCACAACTGAGAGCGGCGAGAATGAGGGCGACTAGTGATGTGCTGAATTGTCCCCAATACTCGGTACCCAATACTTAAAAAAGATTTCGCTATCCGATACCGATTATTTACATTAAACCCTCGCTATTATATGCATTTCAGGTTTAGAAAAAACTTTCATTACTAATTTATATGATATCGGCTAAAACACTTGAACTTATCGCCACAGAAAAATATTATTTTACCAGTTTTAACCTTAGTCGATCCAAGGTTCAAGAAAAATACTTTGACGGATGAAGAAGCCTTTCAGGGGAAGGATTCTGTAGCCAGTTAGCGACAAGTTTCGGATCGATATCGCACTTGTTGACTAGAAATATTTGATATCAAATGTCGACAAAAACGATACCGATTCGAAAATTGTCGTTAACTGGTTACAGAATCTGTCCCAGGCCTACAAAAATGATATCGTCCGATTCAGCTGGAACAAAAATGCTTCAAACAAGTAAGGGTTTCTCTGTATTATGGCATCGAATCGACATATATACATCTTTCATTTGAATCAGTAAAAAAGCTCTATTGGCTCTTACAGTCGGGTTTTGTTAGGCGTTTTTTCCATATTTTTGGCCTATGTGCGCTTTTATTCGAAACCTAAATGTTTCGGTACCAGGTATCGAGAGTACTGGGTACTTAAAAGTATTGACTCAGCACATCACTACTGCTGTCTGCTCTACTATGACGTCCCCAAAACAGCTGATTCTGTCAAAATCACTGAGAGCCGAGTAGCGGTATCGTCATCGGCGCCACCTCTGTATTCTCTCCACCGTGCATCGACACCAGTGATGAAATTCATGCTACATTTGCATGTAGATCGTACGTTTTGGGTACATTTGAATCTCAAAAGTACATTGGCGCATGGTGTAATGAACTGAAGGTGGCGCATTCCCGAAACCGCTACTTTGGTTTTACCGACTTTGACGTTTATGGCAATACGTAAACAAACTTTTTGTTTAGAAATAATTGCAAACGTATTGTGTACTTTCAAGTGAAAAATCGAAGAAATTCGTGCGATCTGAAGTAAAAAACGTTTTATTTGTAATAAAAACTTTATAAAAATGTCGTGTCGTGTGTTGAATTGCAGCAGCCGTAGGGGTAAAGCCCCCAAATGCATTTTTTTGTTTCCCCGCGAAGACGCCTTAGCCAGAAAGTGGGTAGAGTTCTGCCGGCAGGAGAAGCCATACAATTTAGACACCAGCGTAATATGCATGAAGTACTTTACGGACCACTTTTAAACACGACATGTTAAGTTGAAAACGTTAAAATACCACAAATTACAAATTAAGCATCGGCCATTTTCAGCAGGAAAACATGCGCTGCGACAAGATATTATCACTTTTTCGGCACCTGCAATACAAACACAAAAATTCTAAATAGTTAATTAATAAGACCTATTCTTTTGAACACATATCAAGAGTGGTTGTATATTTTTTGTTAACGTTGTGCTTAGTTTGCTATATTCAAAGATGGCTTGAGAAATTGGTGAATCGGGAAGAAAACACGTTTTCTCACTGCAAATTCACAACTGCCAACTCATTGATCTTCGCCATATTCTTTGTTTACCCGTTGCCACAAATGTCATTCTGCGGGAATGCGCAATCTTGTATTCTATCGTTCTTGACATTGGCGCATATTTATAGTCATATTTAGTACTTAACTAAGTCGAAACGGTTATTCTCTAGGGTTCGGTAACAACCCTTAAAAAAGGTGCGGAAGAGTCGGGAGAGGTACCAAACGACGCGTTTCGGCCCCCCTAATAACAATCCGGAGGGGGGAGATAATATTAACCATTTAAAAGTTATGAACAAAAAACTTTTGTTAAATTTCGTTGTTTTCTATGAGCAATTACCACGTCAAAAATGCACTAAATCACCAGTTTCCACTTTTAAAACACTACTAAAACGTTTCCGGTTATTATTTTATGCAAACCAAATCATGTATTCACTTTTATTTTATATATTTCGTTAATAAAACAGAGTAAACAAATTTTGCGCCTGCTAAAATTATTATAACCTCAAATCGCTTATATTGCCACTTTATTTCACATTTCATTTGCGCTATTATACTCAGTTTACACTATACACTTCTTCTTCTTTTTACTTTCATCTAAATAAGATATTGTAACCAAAATATAATAGCAAATTTCGCTATACCATCGCGCGATTTTTTATTAAAAATTACCATTATTTATCGAAGTATTGATTTTATTGAAAAAGCGACGCAGGCGAAAATTTTTAATCAAAAATCGCGCGATTTTTTATTAAAAATTTTCATTATTTATCGAAGTATTGATTTTTATGAAAAAAGCGACGCAGGCGAAAATTTTTAATAAAAAATCGCGCGATTTTTTATTATAAATTTTCATTATTTATATATATATTAAACGAAAGAAGATGCCGAAAAGCATTGAACAGTGCACACATCTCATAAGAAAAAGTGAATTATTACGAAATACTAATACAGTGGCAGCACTATAGCTATTTTGGAATCTCGCGTTTAAGCTGGCAAAGATTGTCAACTTCTTTTTAATAACAAAATAATCAATCTTAGGTTGATAAAACTATGTGTTTCTTTAATAAATAAGTTAAATTATATATTTTAATAGTGTTTAAAAAGTGAGAACAGGTGATTTAGTGAATCTTTGTCGGTGTAATTGCCCATAGAAAACAACGAAATTTAACAAAAGTTTTTTGTTCATAACTTTTAAATGGTTAATAATATTATCTCCCCCCCCTCCGGATTGTTACTAGGGGGGCCGAAACGCGTCATTTGGTACCCCTCCCGACTTTTCCGCACCTTTTTTAGGAGTTGTTACCCCACCCTAGAGAATTACCGTCGAAACTATTCTAAGTCACAACTAAAGCTATTCATAGTCGCCTTAGTTTCGACTTGGGTGGGCCTTAGTAGTCAGCCGCACCTTGTGTTTTAAGAAAACCAGGTGGAATTAACAAATGAAGTTTGGTCAGGATGTTAAGGGAGGTATCCTCTAAAACATGTATGACTAAAAAATATAAACAATATCTTTGTTTATAAGTTATTTGTTGTTAAAATTTCTTAAGTCGTTCCACTTGTTTTCCTTAACAAAAAGTGCATTTGTCACATATTTTCATATATATAAATGTACATAACACTGCACTTAATACTTTACACGGTTTTATTTTATTTTATCTTGTATATAAATCACTTTAATTCAACTTTTGTCGACTTGTAAATTACATTGAATGGCACCCATATTTACAATAACACATGGTTGCAAACTGACACATAACATGTGTTGCGATATTGCACAAAATAATACATACAAAGAAGGCAATGTTTAAAAAGGAATACAGGGGAGATCAATACAAAAGAAAATGAAAATTGACCGATACTTTTATTCTGCGCGAGTATTATTATCAATGAGGGTTTCCGGTCACGAACCCCTGTGCCAAAATATTGCCCATGGCGTAGGCGGTGTTGGTCCGCCCGATTTGATTGCTTTAAGTTCGGTCGAAGGCCGCTTACGTAGAAAGGTGTTCTCTGCAAAAGGTGTTCAGCTCCTTTTCTTCGCAAAGCAGAAAGGAGAATTCTTCTGCCTGAGGGTTATAATCCCTAAGTGTGGCCGAAGGCCGCCTACGTAGAAAGGTGTTCTCTGCAAAAGGTGTTCACCTCCTTTTCTTCGCAAAACATAAAGGAGAATTCTACTGCCTGAGGGTTATAATCCCTAAGTGCGGCCGAAGGCTGCCTATACAGAAAGGTGTTCTCTGCAAACGGTGTTCAGCTCCTTTTCTTCGCAAAACAGAAAGGAGAATTCTACTGCCTGAGGGTTATAATCCCTAAGTGCGGCCCAAGGCCGCCTACGCAGAAAGGTGTTCTCTGCAAACGGTGATCAGCTCCTTTTCTTCGCAAAACAGAAAGGAGATTTCTACTGCCTGAGGGTTATAATCCCTAAGTGCGGCCGCAGGCCGCCTACGCAGAAAGGTGTTCTCTGCAAACGATGTTCAGCTCCTTTTCCTCGCAAAACGGAAGGGATAATTCTACTGCCTGAAGGTTATAATCCCTAAGTGCGGCCGTAGGCCGCCTACGCAGAAAGGTGTTCTCTGCAAACGGTGTTCAGCTCCTTTTCTTCGCAAAACAGAAAGGAGAATTCTATTAAGTGAAAATTCCGAATTAAAAATCCGCTTTTATTATTCCAAATTCCAGTCTGGTAGCACCAAGTTGTATGTTATTTTGCTAGCATATTCATCGTTTATATGAAAACTTTAACAATAAATTATATAAGAACTATAGGGTTGCTAGAAAAAAGGAGGGTAATTTTGAAATCAGGGGGACCTATTCTACCCCCCTCATCACCCCTTTTTCTAGAATTTGCCGTCCGTCTACTAAAATTTTTCCAAGTATTTTATCAAATTAAGGGAAAACAGGCGAAATATGTAAAAATTAAGTTGGCAGAAGGTGATTTTGATAATATTGAATAATCTCCAATTAAAATTTACAAAGATTGATCCATTTTAATCGGAAGATGAAATTAAATGCGTATTACAATTCGAATAAAGCTACATCACAATTTTATAATTGGAAAATTTAGATAAATTTTCAAATAATAAGTCAGTTTCACGCTAGTTCTTTTAAAGTAAATTTGTGCATAACATTTAGATATCTACTATTTCTATGTTTCACAGCATGCTTTCGATAAACATCGACTTCACATTACTGCGGTTGTTCTGGCTATTTCACACAAATAACAAGAAAATGATACCTTATTCTTTTGCAAAATCATGCAATGAAAATAAAAATTACATAAACGGATGATCAAACTTGATATTATTTAATAAAAATGTAATTTTTCCAAAATTTCGTAAAGAAAAATCGATACATTTTCACACTCGTATTGCTATATCGTAAACTAAGTCGAAACTACTTAGTACTTAAGTTGGTACTTAAATTTAAGTTGCAACTTTGTTAGTCTCGACTTAGTTGCTGGACTATGAA